CTGTTTGATGGACTCTGATGCCTCTATTTCCACAAAAGTAAAAGCCTATTTAAACTGCAGTGTCTCTGTATGCTGGTTTATATGTTCTCCAACACAACTCTCACAACGCTTCGCTGAACGCACTCGCACTCCCATTAGGGAGTTTACCTAACAACCATGTTATTAACTTAATATAAAAGAGCCCTGATGGCACAGCGGTTAAAACACAGCATTGCAAGCTAATTCTGCCCACAGCCTAGAGTTTAATTTTGATGGGCTCAAGATTGACTCACAACCTTCCAATCTTTCCGAGGTTGGTAAAATGAGGAGCCAGATTGTTGGGGCAATAGGCTGACATTGTAAATCACCCAGAGAGAGCTGTAAAACATTGTAGGGTAGTATAGAAAATGAGCTTATGGTTTTCGGTGCGCACATACACACCAGTCAGCAAGTCCTCCGTTTTACTGCCATCCATGCGCACGCGCCAATCAGATGGCCAGCATGCATGCTCACCCTGGAAAACAAGACCAGCTCTTCCAGTTTCCGGTACTGCCATATGCACAAAGGCTAGCTGATCCTCACATGCGCATGTGCACCAGAAACCCGGAAGAGGAATGGGCAATGCCACACATGCCTGGCAACACGGCTCTGCGTGTCACTTTGGGCACGCATGCCACAGGTTCGTTATCATCACGGGTCTAGAGAGAGCAAACTTCTGCGAAGTTCTTCCATGACTAGCTTCACATTCTAAGCTCTGTGTAGTCGTATCGCCAGCATCACTCAATATTAGGAGCATCTCACAAACACACCCACCCACCCAAATAATGCATGTGAACATGTGAAACTTACATTGTATGGGGTCTCCAGAATTGGTATGTATCCCTGGGACAGGTGTGCCTTCTGAATTGACGCAGAAACAGTTTTTCCCATGGCACTGGACTGGCAGGAATGTCCCTTCTTTGGTACATGAAGGAACGAACATCTGAGATCCTGCAGGCTGGTCTCTAATTAAGAGTTGCAGACTGGCCCTTTGCTTTTCACACGTTGTAGGGCACCGCGGTTTTGTCCCTCGTACTTTGGATCCGGGGATTTCTTTCCCCCTTAAATCTACGCACCAACACTCCCCTCTCTTACACTGGATCTCCTTGTAGTTCCCATCTTCGGTGCAGTCTGGCACGAAGGCATCGTTGTCCTCTTCCGTGCAGTCTCTTGCTTTCAACAGAATCTTCACCACGTCGCCTAAATCTTTGGTGACACTTTCTGGCACAGAAATCACATGCTGCAGAAAAGTGAAAAACTCGGGGGCCTCAAGAAGAGAAGCGAGGAATTTGACGGCATTCTGGTTGTCCTCTAAATTAATCGTACGTCCAAAGCCATCAACAAGAGATTGGCTCAGGTTGAACTTCTCCTGGGAGCTTCCCTGCAACAGTTGACCAGCCAATTCACGGAATCCGCTTCTCATCCCAACTTGCTGGAAATACTTGTCCAGATTAAATTTGCTGTTGGGGCCAAGAGCTCCTGTCAGGTTAAACTGGGCCAGGTTCTTCAAGAACATCCCACCAAAAAGGTTTTCTTGGAATCGCTTGGGGTTGTTGGTGAACTGTAGAGCAACTTGAGCAAGTTCTCGGGAGGGAAACATCCCACCAACCGCTTCGCCAAGGAGCGTTTCGTATGTGAAGAGCTGAGCGGCGCTGTTACCCCCTGAGATGGAAGACGGCTCCGTGGAGCCCACCAAAAAGTCTCTGAATAGAAAGGGACAAAATCTTGAGGAGCCAACGATCTTCCGTGGCTCTTGAGGAGCAGAAAACAAATTGTTATGACTGAAATGTCCAACGGGGCCATAGAAAAGCCTGGAGAGAGATACTAGTCTCTCCGAGACACAGGTGGGCTCCTTGTCTAGACAAAGGAAAGGATAACAGGAGGTTAATTATTATGAAGAACACAAGAAGAGGCCAAGAACCAGGCCCATACGATCATCTGTGATGGACATGTGTGAAAACAAAGAATTATTGGATAAGAATACATACATGGTTAGAAAAAAAATGTTAAAACTGCATTTAGATTATAAGCCAGACGTATTTTTGTTAGGTATAGTACCTGAAAAATATAATAAGGGGAATTTGTGTTTAATATTGCATGTTTTGAAGACTGCAAGAATGTAAAATGTGATTGGGTGCTGTTTTCCTCAATCAGCCATCAGGGGAAGAAGTTTTATTGTAGGAGAAAAGCAGGCAGAGGTGGGGCGGAGTTAAATGAGTCATCAGTCTAGAATCATTACAGTCCCACAAATGGTCTAAGTCAGGTGTGGAATTCAGTAGAATTTGGACTGGTTTGGGTGAACCGAATGCTAATTTTACAGTAGTTGCCAGGACTGGCTGGCCCTGCCCACCCTGCCCCACCCCTCCCAGGAGTCTACATGTGGGACTGTAATGATTCTAGACTGATGACTCATTTAACTCCACCCCACCTCTGCCTGCTTTTCTCCTACAATGAAACTTCTTTCAGTTGATGCGGCCCAGCCCCTAATATTTAAAGTAAATTACTTGTGATCAAGGAGGTGATGACCCATTAAGATTAGCAGCCATTAATAACCTATCCTCCTTGAAGTATTTTGTTCTCTTCAAAAGCCCTCCAAACAGGAGGTCACCCCTAAAGATGGCCCAAAATTCCACAAATTAAATCTGCATCGTATTACATAGAACAGCTTTCCTTTCTTGGAGTTTTGTTTCAATACTCTCATCAAACTAATGAGAAGAGGAGGGGGGGGGGAAACCTTTATCTCTGTGTATTTTAAGAACATAAGAGTAACTCTGCTGGATCAGGCCAAGCTCCAGCATTTGTTTATCCTGTGAACAGTTAAATCAGGGGTGTCAAACTCAACGCCCACGGGCTGCATCCGCTCCGAAGGTTTCTTAGATCTGGCCCATGGGACCACCCGGAAAATGGGAGAGAGGACCAGACCATAGTGCTTCTGCCAGTGAAAACGGAGCTTGTGGCTGTCCCAAGGTCCATTTTTGCTGGCAGAGGGTTGCAGGAGGCTGTCACAGCCAAAAACGAAGCTTGGGAGTCTGTTTTCTCTGACAGAGTGCTTGGGCCACCACGGGCAACCCTGACACAAGTGACGTCGAGCTGGCCATGCCCACTCTGGCCACGGCCACCCCAAGGTCAAACACAACCCTGATGTGGCCCTCAATGAAATTGAGTTTGACACCCCTGGTTAGATGTTTCTGGGGAATTCAGAAAGAAGAAATTCACTGCTATTGCATTGCAATTGGTA